TCACACCAAGCAAATCACATGAACACAACACAATACTGAAATGCATTCAGAAGCAGCAGCGTGGAAGTAGTGGTTAGGTGGTTTGCCTCCTTGTACATTTTGTTTGCAGGTTCAGTTCCAGAATATATTCCCATATTTTAGAGTTGACAAAAAAATGAAAGTGGCGTTAAACATAAAGAATAATCATATTTGTCTTTAACAAACATCCCCACAGATATCCTCACACATGGCAGTGAGTTCATACAACGCATTATGGCCACCTGCGAAACACTGTAACTCTGTCTCCATCAGTACTCACAGTTCTAAATATGCAGCTTGTGTACTTTACCTCCCTTCTGGCAGCGCTTCTACACTGATTAGGATGTTTGAAAAGAAGACAAAACAGGAGAAAGTAAAAAGCACAAACAGACAGGTCAGCAGAAAAGAAACACCCTCACCTCACTCACCCGAATGGCATGCTCCAAGGTGAGTTCTAATGACCTCAGTGCAATGACAGATAGGTGTGTGTCTCTGTGAGTATTTGTCTGTGACTGAGCCTGTCAGTGGTTAGGTTTGGACACATGCCTACCTCCCTTTGTGTATAAGCAACATTGCATCTCTGTGTGCGTCTCCGTCCTTGGACTTCTGGAGACAGGGGGTGTAGACCTGGGAGGCTTCCCCGATGCTCTATCTCTGGGCTGTGGGGGGATGATTGCCTCCCTTTCCGGCTTCTCTCCCACACCAGGCCACACCTGGTGGAGAGACACCAGGGTAAAGGGCACGAGTCAGGCTGATTGTGTTTTTGTCTGTCTCTACAGTTGTTAACCCAGGGAAAGGTCTACTAAGTCCTTCCTTGAACTCTTTTTCCCTGTTATCTTGTGCCACATAATACAGGTACAGGTAGATATAGTAACCTTGGATTTAAGCTGTACATATACTAAACAAAAGTGGTGGTCAGATGATCGAACAGCTTCAGAAACTCCCTTCGCACACACCTCTCTCAGGTCGGAATTGTGAAATCAGTTTCTGACAGTTGCTGATATTCTGACATTCATGCCCACTTCACGCAGCGATTGGCCAGCTGTGTGGAGGTCAGGTTAAGGCAGAAAAACAACACATTTGTCGGACAACACATCATACAGACTAGTTATTTTTAATCCGACCTTTAACCAGACTATCCTCTACTTTTTTTTTGTCGTACCAGTGTAAAAGTACGTTCTAACAGAATTTTATGTTTTGTATGCAATGCTGCGACACTGATGCAATTACTGCACACTTGAAGTACCAAAACAGTATTAGGGGCTGTGTTGATGATGATGTCAAATTGGGGCTTCTAAGTATGTGTGAGTGTGGAGAAAAGTGGTTAATTCAAACAGCAGCGGTAGGGTTTTTGTGTGACAAACAACCCTGTCTGACAATCACGCTGTCATGGATCACGCAATGAAGCTTTCTAGAGGACGGGAGACCTTTTTTAAATCAAATATTTTTAATGACAACATTAAGAGATCAGCATTCAAGGCTAGTAAGTTGAAGGAACTGAATTCATAATAGTGACATCCCTGTAAGTGCCTTTTGTTTATCTGACACGTGCAAATCTGTGCTCCACGGGGCTGTATTATAGCAGCAATGCAGTCTTAGTTTTGTGAGAGACAGCTTACTGTGTTTGTGATACTGTACAGTAAGCCATGTTGAGTACAGCATCAAAGTCTCCATGAGATCAACTTTATGTAATGACGCTTCACACCTCATCCCCCCTCCAAAGTGCCAATCTGGTGCCCTGGAACGTGTATCTTGCTGGGCACAGCAGGTGGCAGTAAACAGGTACGTTGAGATGCCAGGCAAACAGACAGACAGACAAAACAGATGACTCTTACCCAGCCCCTCGAATCCTCCTGTCTTGTGACTGTTAGCACTCAGACTGAGCGACAAGACTCACCACTTCTTGGTGTAGAACACTCGCGAAGGATAGGGGGGGGGGGGGGATCAATATTTAGCTAGATGATTATACTATGAAGCACCAAGATATTTTTTCTTGCTCTTTACAAGGCACTATAATTGGTTTCATGCTTGTATTAATATATAAAACAGGCGCAAGCATAATCACAATTTAAATCTGACTATTAGCCATGCTGAACTGTGTGTACATTGCAATTCGGCTCAGACACTTGAATGAATGAACTGAACATGAATGACAGTTTGGAGTACAACAACCTGCAGTTTTACAGAGTTTAGAACAAAGCAGTCCACACAGGTGCCACTTACAGTGTGTTGCTATGGCTGCAGCGGCATGTTTAGAATAGATAGCCAATCTTATAGGATGGCAAATGTTGTTTTTCTGGCCGTCTGACTGGCCTGCTTGCAGTTAGTGGCTAACCCTGTTTATATATACTAGATGCCAATGTGAGCTGGCCTCAGCTCTCACCCTGTACAAAACAGTGTAAACCACTAGGGCATGGGCTGTGGTTTGCTTTGGTCCATGTTTTCCCCAAGGGGAAGTGGGCATAGCAGTCTGATGTACACTCTGATGTCTACTTGTTTGTGGAGGTAAACTCAACTCAGTTTCACTGCTTTCAGAGCATGATTGTCGGTTATGATTTATGCATGGTTAGAAATATTTTAGTAGATTTCAAGGTCCAGTAACCACTAAGATAACAATGGCTGACTGCATATATTGCCTAGCAGTAACTTGTATGTTTGATTATTCAATTTTGTTTTATTATCTGTATCACAATTTGGTTTGTTTTTAGGTCTGTTCAGTACAGCAGTTCTCTTTAAGTGCAAAATATATCACTCAGGCGGTGAAGCCTTCATGCTGTAAGCAAACTTAATTGAAGTATTTCAAAGGGTGTGGATTAATGACGTGATACAGGAAAGCCCAATGGCTGTTTCAGATCCTGTGAATGTGCTATGTCATAACATTTGGCCTGTCTGTGAAAGCAAAGGAAATACTCTTTCTACTGTATTCTTTCTCTCTTTCTGTTTCTTGCTGTGTGATAAACACACACACACACGCGCACACAAAAACACACACACACACACACACGCACACACAAACACACACACAAGGAAGCAGTATTGGAAGCATTTCCCTGTGCTATTGGGTTTTGTTGCAGAAACCTTGTCTCTCTCACCACATTTTCTTGAGGTTGAATATTTCCCCAAACTCCTGCTAAACAGGGTCCCTCCTCTGTACTGAAGTCTATACAGAATGGCTTATTTCTACACCTTTGTGCATAAACTTCCTCCTCCTCTCCACAGACTGGGGTGGTGGTGTGCTCATCAACTGTTGCCCTTCTCCGGCGCTTTCTGACTCAAAATAAGAATCTAACGTTGGCTTTCTGCTCTCCTCAACCTGGTTTTTGAAACCTTGGTTAAAAAAAAAAACGTTTCAACAAAAGGAAAATAAGTCTGCTCACAGTGCCTTGTGGTGTTTTTTCAATGTTTGTGGTTTAATTTTGTCTCAGATATAGTCAGCTTTTAACTAATATTTCCATTCAAATTAACACCACTGACTGAATCAGCCACTTGTAGTGGGTTCTGAATGCAGTGGACCAAACGCCAAAGTGTGCTGATGTTTTTCAGTAATTAGTCTGTCCTGACTGAATATTTATGGGGCTAACACTACCTTTGTCACCTGTTTTTGACCCTATATTGTCTAAACACATGCACTGAGGTCTTAAGGGGCTTGTTAAATGCTAGTTTAATTATAATGTTTATATTTGGGTGCAATGGTATTTAAGAGAAAAGAGTGAATAGCAGCTCTTTTTTTAAAAACAGGTGTAAAACTGAAACTATGGCTGCAGTTGTGTTTCTGCCTCTCTACATTTAGTCCTGTACATCTCCTCATCTCAGCTTGAGACTAACCAACAGAGGTGCACAAAATAGTTTCCAAACTTTTCTCTCTCTTTCTCCTTTCCTTTTTTTTTTACCCTCCCTCAGTCTCCCCAAACAACCCCTTCGAGTTTCTTTGCCCCGGTCCCTTTATACTAAAATCCACTCTAACAACTAAAAATTCATTTTGTCTGACCTAAATCAGAGGGTGTCTGCGCCATGGCCTTATTACACAGTGCGCTTAAACTTGTGTTGTGGAGGAGGATGGGGTATTATTATCTTCCAGCTACCCACCCTGCTATAAAAACTAGTGGTGCGACATCTCCACAGCGCAGTGCTGCTGCCCTCCCTCCCTTCCTCTCACTCTCTCGCTCGTCCTACATGAGCCACACACAACAGTGAGCCTGACTCCTAACTCCACGCTAGGCACTCTGCTACACAGACCCAAGAATCACACTCTGCTCTCCTCTGTAGCACTGCTTTTGCTTCTCTCCATTGGATATTCCTCCCTGGGTGTTTTTAAATTTTTTTAAATTTATTTTGTGAATGGGCATCCGTGGCCGGTGTAGAGAGCTTGTGAATGGACTGACTGCCTGGCTGACTGATTGACAGACTGGCAAAGAGAGAGGCAGCTGTGTTTCAATTAAAAAGGGCAATGCTGAGAGGTCAAGCGAGGAGCAACAGAGCTTC